AAAAAAAAATGGATGTGTTTGGGAAAACATTTGAAAGATGATATTGTTTAAAGTGAATATGGAATGTCAAATACAAATTTATGAGGTAGTAAAGAGGGTTAAAACATTTAGAGGCAAAAGAAGCAGCATATTCACAAATAGGGGCGTAAATGAATATGGTTTAGAAAAACATGCTTTGTTAAGAATTTGATATTGTTACCAGAACTGGAAAGATGTTAAAGCTGTGAAGATAAATTTTATTTAAGAGAACTGTTGCATTAGGGGAAAAGAGACATCAGTATAGAACTGAGCTCAATTCTGAATATCACATGAAGTAGGAATATATAGCCAAAGAGCAGGGTCTGTGGTGAGGGTCAGTTTATGGAAAATTACTAAGAGAAAATGTCAGTCTTAAGTGGAGATTCTGGCTAAATTGATTTTGCAGGATTCTTGCTGGAGGCAGACCAGGGTGATGAGATACCAAGAGTGGGCAATGAAGAATTTTATCAGATATTAATGGTAGGGATTCTTGCTATAGTGATTTAGCAAGACTATTGTTAAAACTGGATACTACAATAAAGGACACGAAGCCCAAATTGAGGCCTAGTCAGAAAGAAAACTCAGAGGACTTGACCAAAGTTTTGTCAAAGAGAGTCTTTGTCAATATTGATATGAAGTTTGATATATTTATTGTGGCAATCCTTAAAATTTGTGCCTGATTTTAATGAAGCATTGCTTTTCTCCACCAGGTGGAGATAGCTAGATACAAATGTTTTACATAAAGAAAAGATTTGTTAACTTACTAATATTGATTTAATACTACTTTGGAAATGTTTTATTTAATTCTGGATTTAATATTGGATGAGTCTAGAATACTGTTGCTGACCTACAGATGATTAGACATGCCAACACAAAGTAGAAAAGAAGTAATATACAACTACTAATAATTGATTCTCATTTGTTTTTAGTTTTTTTTTTAAAATTATGTATTTACATACACTGTGGCTTACTATATGTGGTTATTTTTATTTTTTAGATTGCTCTCCCTAGTCTTTATCAAACCCTCTGCTTTGAAGATGTAGCTCTGTGGCGTACTTACTACCATAA